CTCGGTGCCGTTATAGTTTGGAAAAATATGACCCTGATAGAAGTGGGGGACGAGTTGTCATTTTTCAGTATGAATATTAACTTACCCAGTCCATTTTGTAGATACGACAGCTCTCCCACAACTGCTGGATCATCTCAGATTTAGATTCCTACAATCAAAATAACGGTTAATTGAGAAATAATTTGGTAAATGATGAATAAACCATGAATGCGACTGCGGCACCTGTTCTGATGAGATGAGGCTTTTCGAGAACCTAACGGACACGCGGATAAGCTAATGCATAATATAATCTTCCCCACTCGGTTAATTCAAAGTAAAGGCTAGCATCTGAAAACTATTTTAAGGATTTTCTACATACGCCCATAGTAATGAATGTGCAAGACCTTTCGAAGGCTTCTTCTGACATGCGGCAGTGGTTTAAAGGTTTGTGTAGCTATCCTTTCTCCCAGAGGTTCCGGTTCGACTCCATAGCACGCGCCATTTCGCAGTTCGGTTGTGGATTCCAAAATTTTGCACCACCCTCCTCGATCCCCAAGATGAAGCCTTTAGTTGAAGCATTCTGCATGATGTATGAGTTGGAAAGACGTTTAAGAAGTGTTGTCTGTAGGAAATTATTTCATAAGTTGAATATATTATTTTCTTCGAAAAATTTCAGACAGCAGAACTTTAAACAAATACATTGGCACAATAATGTAACTAATATCTAAGTTTAGAGGGCGAACGCAAGCTTTGTAGAAGTTGTAAATGTTTTGCCCGCAGGATGATCAATATTTATGGGCTTGCTAGTAGCACCAACGAGGGATACTCGAAGTTCAAATTCCACGAATTTTTTGAAGACAGAGGTATTGCTAAGTCAGACTGAATCGTTAACTTCGACAGGCCGTGAAATCATCTAGTAGTTCGAACTGTCGAACAAGGTAAATTCCTCGGTTGTCTAAGACTGGAAACCCGTTCACAACACGCATCTTGTTGATTGATAGGTGATTAGGGATTCAGTACGATGGTATGCGGCAGGTAAGAGTAACACATATCCCAAAGCCACATCTGATCATAAACTTTAAATCAAACCCGAACCGTTACCCTTTATAAAAAAGGTTTACCATAACTTTAATCGTAGTATGACGTGCCTACGCAAATCAAATAAGTAGCTATGCTGCAGGACTAAAGTCGAGATGGGGCCACACGCTATTCTTGTCAGCGAATTGAATTCGCGACGTACTTGCAAACCATTTCCGTTATTCAGCTTTGGATTAAGAAGGATGATTGATTAGGCTAATTATGTCAGGATCAAACTCAATCGCGTGCGCACACAGCCCTGACGAGTCGTTCCCACGCCGTGCAACTGGTCCGCTCACACAGAGTGCACTTGATGACACGCGCAGCTGCGGCCAAGCTCAGAACTCTACCACGCCAGTCGGATGAGTCAAAAAGCGAATCAAACCGCTAGCTATTTGAGGCCACAATTTCATTGGTTCAATCTTGTACGCTTTGCTTGCCTTAAGTACGCTGTACTAGGTATGCGAAAAGACTTCTGCGTTTGCGCTCTTCCTGTCGTGTTCTTCCTTAGGAACTCCAAAAAGATGTAATTAGACGGTGACATCCCGGCTTTGGCCACATTTACAACACACTGATGGCCACACTAACTTCAAGAATACGGTATCTAAATTTATTGGCGTGATTGGCAAGTTGAAGACAGGAGCTGGTCTTGCCTTAAATGAAACCCTTCGGCGCAGCTTTACAGCTGGTGAGGATAAAAAAATAAAGCAAGGAAACCCACCCGTTTGCTCAGGCCGACTGTGTAGAGTTTCTCGAGCATGTGGACAGTTAAGAAGGCTTCCAGGTCAAAACCGTTCTCCAGAAAGAGACTGACGAAGGCTTCCTGATCGGCGATAATGGCATTAAACATGAAGGTGTCCAATTCGTGTTTCTGCGGTTGGCGATAAAGAAGACATGGTAAGTGCATTGCTGGGACTGAGCTGAGAACACAGCCACTGTAGCAAGAACGCACGCATACAAAAACCTTAAGGATTGCACTCAAAGCTAGTGAAACTTACAGACCTGTAGACCTCAAAATGATAAAAACACTTTTTAAAACAATTTGTCTACCCATTTCTTCGCAGTTTGGCCAATTAACTAACCTCCAAATCAAGGGACGGGCTAGATGCACTGGAGGAAAGTGACGTCGTACTGGCTCACAGCAGGCACAATTCACGTTGCACAGCGACCGCCCGGTACAAAACTACTGTTGTACACGGGGCTGTGGGGAGTTTTGTTGTGACAAGGCTAGACGCACGCTTCACAGCCTCCAATCCCAACACCAGAGGGCTGGTAGGCCTGAACTTCGTTCCATGGCTCGTCAATGGCTTCCTCGTCATAGTTAATCTAACGCGCATAGATGCATCATGAAGGGCCAACAGTTGGTGCTTGGGAGGCTGCTTACTAACGGGGTAACTCTCTCCTCGTGGTCACTAATATGGGTACTTGTGTCGACTACTGAATTTAGAATCATGCTGCTCAGGAGAAGAAGAAGCGATCTTTTACCTACAGCCCAATTGTGACGGGGCCGTGTACGTAGGCCAAAGGCAGACGGAAAGGCTGTCAGCCAAACACCCCGCCAATTGCAATATCGACTGGTATTCACCCCACCGGTCCTTCTGTCGCTAAAAGGGTGCTTCCAAGTGGTCGCTGTGTGCCTTGATCGAGCCGTCGCACGAGATCACGACTTCGTGCTATGTTTATCAGTAATTCCACCTCCATCACTAGTTGGCCAGCCCCCAGTATCAAAAATAGTAGAAAAAATGCATTTAGAATTTACTTTCACCTCAAATGCGGCGAAAAATAAAATTTCAAACAACACCGTACAGTAGACGCCAAAGATCATGCAATATTTCGACATATGCGAAAGTCTGAT